GAGGGTGACTGTTACCGGTGTTTTCCGCCCGACCCGGGCATTGAGACTGCTGCTCTAGGTACTGGTGAGGCTGCTGCTCTAGGTGCTAGCGAGGCTGCTGCTCTAGGTGCTCGTGCGTCTGCTCACTCAGGTGCTGGTGAGTCTGCTCTCTCAGGTACTGCGTCGGCTTCGGCCTCCCACACCTTCACCCTTGACTCGGGGGCTTCTCGCTCCTTCTTTCGAGACCGCACCACACTCACGCCGCTTGGCCGGCCAGTTGCAGTCTCTCTGGCAGACCCCTATGGGGGTCCTGTCCTTGCTCACTTCTCCACTGTCCTCCCGTGTCCGGCGGCCCCCTCTGGCATCCTGTCTGGTCTTTACCTCCCCTCGTTCTCTACGAACTTGGTGAGTGGTGCTGACCTACAGGATGCGGGGGTTCACCAGTTCACTCCTGCGAGTCAGCGAGTGACCCACTGCACGGACGCTCGGACAGGCCGACACCTGGCCACGTTTACACGTCGGCCGGGGTCGAGCCTGTACACACTGACCACTGCGTCTCCTCCAGTCACTGCGTCTGGTCAGGTAGCTGCGTCGGGTCAGGTGTTTGCTGCAGCGTCCAGGTCTGGTCCTGAGTCTGCCCCCTGTTCGTGTCGCCTCCTGTCGCACGAGACTCTCCTCTGGCACCACCGCCTTGGTCACCCCTCCCTGCTTCGTCTCCGAGGCATGGCCTCCCGTGTCCTTGTCTCTGGTCTTCCCCGGTCCCTCCCTCCCCTTCCTCCGGGGCCCGGCCCTACCTGCGTCCCTTGTGTCGAGGGGCGGCAGCGGGCTGCCCCTCACTCCTCCCAGTTTCCTCCGACAGAGGCCCCGCTGCAGACGCTTCACATGGACGTGTGGGGCCCGGCCCGCGTCCGTGGACAGGGTCACGAGCGCTACTTCCTGCTGGTGGTTGACGACTACTCGCGTTACACCACGGTCTTCCCCTTGCGCAGCAAGGGTGATGTCACTGAGGTGTTGATCGACTGGATCCGCGCAGCTCGTCTCCAGCTCAGGCAGAGCTTCGGCTCGGACTTTCCTGTTCTGCGTCTGCACTCTGACAGAGGTGGAGAGTTCTCCTCTGGCCTTCTGCGAGCCTACTGTCGTGCACGAGGCATCCGCCAGACCTTCACGCTTCCGGACTCTCCACAGCAAAATGGGATTGCTGAGCGCCGCATTGGCATGGTCATGGACGTCGCCCGTACGTCCATGATGCATGCGGCTGCCCCCCATTTTCTGTGGCCGTTTGCGGTTCGGTACGCGGCGCATCAGATCAACCTTCACCCCAGGGTCTCCATGCCGGAGACCTCCCCAGCTTTGCTGTGGACGGGGAAGGTTGGCGATGCGTCTGCGTTCCGTGTCTGGGGATCTCGGGCGTTTGTCCGCGACTTGTCTGCGGACAAGCTGTCCCCTCGTGCTGCTCCTTGCGTCTTCCTTGGCTTCCCCCCTGACGCGCCAGGGTGGCAGTTCTACCACCCCACCTCTCGCCGTGTTCTGTTTTTCCAGGACGTCACGTTTGACGAGTCGGTCCCCTACTACTGCCTCTTCCCCTACCGCACTCCGTCCCTCCACCCGCCACCGCTCTTCCTTGTGCCAGGTCCCCCCCCGGTAGACCCCCTCCCCCCTCAGGGTCCTGCCCCTTCAGGTGTGTCCCAGGTAGACGCAGTCGAGCGTGTCGAGGTTACTGGTGACTCTGGTGCTGCTGAGGGTGCTGAGCCTGGGGGTGCTGACTCTGGGGGTGCTGAGCGTGTGGGTGCTACGCCTGGGGGTGCTGAGCCTGAGGGTGCTACTACTGGCGGTGCTGAGCCTGGGGGTGCTGAGCCTGGGGGTGCTACTACTGGGGGTGCTGAGCCTGGGGGTGCTGAGCCTGGGGGTGCTACGCCTGGGGGTGCTGAGCCTGGGGGTGCTACGCCTGGAGGTGCTGAGCTTGGGGGTGCGGAGCCTGAGGGAGCTGGGCCTGCTCGTGTGGCGTCTGGCGGTGCTGAGCCTGGAGGTTCTCCGGGTGCTTCGTCTCGGCGGGAGCCACTCTCTCCACAGGAGCTGCGAGAGTGGTTTGCCCGACGCTGGAGGCGTGCTGCTGGAGCTGGAGGTTCTTCGACTGCTGCGGGTGCTGGTGCCGCGGGTCCCGGAGGTGCTCGTACTGGGAGTACTGGAGCTGCTGGGCCTGCGGGTACGCCTGGAGCTGGAGCTGCTGAGGGTGTTGGCGCTGAGGCTACTGCTGTCGGTCCTGGAGGCGGTCCTGCTGGGGGTGCTACTGGTGCTGCTGGAGGTACTGGAGCTGGAGGTGCTGCTGGCGCTGGTGCTGCCGCTGGGGGTACTGGTGCTGTCCCTGCTGTGTCTGGAGTCGCCGCGCGGCCTCGGCCGTACTTCGTTCCGCTCCTTCAGCAGGTTCTTGGTCTCCCGCCTTCTACTGGTCCTCCTCCTCCCTTAGAGTGTCCACAGCCTGTCCCGTCCCAGTTACAGTTACAGCCGGCCTTCACACTGCCGGCTCCTTGTCCCTACACTGGTCCTACTGGAGGTCTGGCTGAGCGTCGTGAGCCTGCGTCTCGCCCTGCGTCGCCTGTCCGTCTTGCTCGCACTAGTGGCCGTGGTTCGCGTCAGCGTCCTCCTCCTGTCCCTGGCACGCACCGGATGTCTCTGCGTCCGTCCACTGCTCCTCTGCATGCCCCTTTGCCTTCTCCTCCTGAGTCCTCTCTTCCTGCTCTTCCCGACCCGGAGTCGGACTCTCTTCGTGCTGCCAGTCCTACTGTCACGCGTCTCCTTGCTACTGTCGTCACTGACCCTTCCTTTGAGTCCACTGCTGCGTCTGCCCTAGTTGCTGAGCTCGTCGACTTTGCTGCTCGCTGTCGTCTAGACTACGCTGCTAGTCTTGTCGTTGAGTCTGAGTCTGTCTGTCCTCCGTCCGTCGGGGGTGAGTGTGCCCTTGGCACGGACGTCCTTGAGGACAGGCAGGAGGAGTTCCAGTGTTTGGCTGCTGCTTCACCTCATCTCGTGTCCGTACTGCTTACCCCTGAGGGAGACCCGGATGCACTTGACATCCCGACTCCGCGCTCTTACGCGGAGGCGATAGAGGGTCCCTACTCCTCTCAGTGGCAGGCAGCTATGGACACAGAGATGGCTTCCTGGAAGTCCACAGGCACCTACGTTGACGAGGTTCCCCCGCCTGGGGCGAACATCGTCAGTGGCATGTGGATTTTCAGGGTGAAGCGACCGCCGGGTTCTCCGCCTGTCTTCAAGGCACGTTACGTGGCTCGTGGCTTCAGTCAGCGGCAGAGAGTTGACTACTTTCAGACCTTCTCTCCCACCCCGAAGATGACCACTCTTCGGGTACTGCTGCACATAGCTGCTCACCGCGACTACGAGCTGCACTCTCTTGACTTCAGCACTGCTTTCTTGCAGGGCAGCCTGCACGAGGAGATCTGGCTGCGTCGCCCACCTGGCTTCACTGGGTCTTTTCCTCCTGGCACCCAGTGGAGCCTCCGGCGGCCAGTCTACGGTCTCCGCCAGGCACCGCGTGAGTGGCACGACACACTGAGGACTACACTTGCGGCTCTTGGGTTTGCTCCCTCTACTGCCGACCCGTCGCTGTTTCTGCGCACCGACACTTCTTTGCCGCCGTTCTACATCCTCGTGTACGTCGACGACTTGGTCTTTGCCACAGCTGACACTGCTGGACTCGCCCACGTGAAGTCCGAGCTGCAGAAGAGACACACGTGCACAGACCTGGGTGAACTGCGCAGCTACCTTGGCTTGCAGATCACCCGGGACAGAGCACGCCGCACCATTACCCTGACTCAGTCACACATGGTGCAGCAGGTCCTTCAGCGCTTCAGCTTCACGTACTCCTCGCCTCAGGCCACTCCTCTGCCTACTCGCCACTCGCTCTCAGCTCTGCCTTCGGATGAGTCCGTAGAGTCGAGTGGCCCGTACCCAGAGCTTGTTGGCTGCCTCATGTACCTGATGACCTGCACACGACCTGACCTCGCATACCCTCTTAGCATTCTCGCACGCTATGTTGCTCCTGGGAGACACAGACCGGAGCACATGGCTGCAGTGAAGAGGGTGTTGCGTTACTTGTGCAGTACGTCGGGCATGGGGCTTGTGCTTGGAGGGCAGAGTCCAGTGGTCCTCACTGGGCACGCAGACGCTTCTTGGGCTGACGACCAGGCTACGCAGCGGTCGTCACAGGGTTACACCTTCAGCCTTGGTTCCGGCTCTGTTTCGTAGCGGGCTACCCGCTCGTCTTCTGTTCTCGGCTCCAGTTGTGAGGCTGAGATCTACGCCGGGGCCATGGCTGCACAGGAGCTTCGCTGGCTCACCTACCTGCTGACTGACCTCGGAGAGCCGCCTCGTTCTCCTCCAGTGCTGTACGTAGACAACAAGGCCATGCTGGCCTTGTGTCGAGAGCAGAGACTGGAGCACAGAACGAAGCACATTGCTCTCCGCTACTTCCTTGCTCGTGAGCTACAGCAGCGTGGTCAGCTGCGGCTTGCGTACGTGGCCTCTCAGGCCAACACTGCTGATATCTTCACCAAGGCACTTGCGCCTTGTGATCATCAGCGCTTCTGTACTCAGCTGGGTCTTGTGCCTACCTTGCCTCACTTGCTCACCCCTTGACCTTGTTTGTACTGTTGCATATATATATACACCTGCTCTTGCTTGTCTAGCCTTATATATATATGTAATCTTGCATGTGAACTGGCCTTGTGGCCTTGAACTTGTGCTCGGAATGTGTGGTGACTTTGTGATCCACCCTGAGCTTGCTTTGCTTTGCTTGACTGGTCTTGTGACCCCTTGTTCTCCCCCACTTTGCCTATGGGGGTGTGTCAGATTTATATGACATAGCTACTGTAGGCTATAGTGGGGTAGCACATATGGGGTACAATTTTCTAGGGTTTACATTTGTACCCAACTTTCCCTTAGTCATTCTCATTCCTCGTTTCTTCTCACACTGCCCCTTACACCCCACCGTCGCTTCCTTGTGGTTGATGCAGATCGACGTCACGCTTGTGGCGCACATCGTGGAGCAGACGCGCATGCGGCTGAAGGCGCGGTACCTGAGCGGGGCACCTGGTCACACCTTTGGAAGCGGGGAGTACATGACTCTTCCTGATTTCTTCTTGAAGCACCAGAAGCAGGACAAGCGCGAGATGAAAGTTGAAGGCGTTGACTGCGAGGGAAATCTGGTATCGTTCACTTTCGTTCTGCACGAGCGGCCGTTGAAAGTGCAGGAAACCGATGGCGACGTGACAACCTGCTATGAGCTATCGTTGAAATTTGTCCGCGCGATTGACAAGGAACTGGAGTGGCGGATGCGTGATCTCGCCAACCTGGAGGGTTCGAAGCTGTTCCACACCGCATCTTACCTCACGGATGACGCCAAGCGCGTTGAGGCGTTCAAGCGCTGGCTGGGAAAACTGCACAAACTCTATCACGAGAAGCTGCCAGGTGTGTGGTGAAGCGTTGACTATCTGTCCGTTGTGATCATGCATGTTGTTTGAATTTGGTGCACCATCCGTGGCTTGTCTTCGTCTTCTGTTGGTCTAATACGCCCCATTCCACCCGGTGTATGCTACTTTAGCCCTATTTGACCCCCACCCCGTACACCAGGCTTCGACTTCAAGAAGGCGAGCAACGAACTGTGGATGTTCACATCCACACTGTTCAGCCAGCACAACGGGGAGGATTTCCACCAGGCGCTTTCGAACATGATGCGTGACGACGGCTGGCAGCAGTCATTCCCCAACATCATGAAGATGTGGCAGGCCATCGCTGTTCTGCCGTTAAGCACGGTGGAATGTGAACGCGGGTTCAGCAAGCAGAACCTGATCAAAACGTGGGACAGAGGGTGCCTCTCGGACACCAGCCTGGAGCACCTCATGCGCTGTTCCCTTGTGCAGTATGAGGTGGATTGGTTTGAGGTGGTGGCTATCTTCAGGGGGGAGAAATTGCGCAGGTCTACAAAAGACTTCACCGGCAGCAACGAGAGCAAGACCTTGTTTGCACAAGAGGATGTAGAGGGGAGTGTGCCTACGGCAATGTAGGTGTAGATTAGTGGGACATTTTTCAGATGTATCGACTTTCTTAATGTAAAACAAGCTCAAAGCATTGTGTGCGGGATTTTGCAGTAACAATCAGTGTTGGGTGCCTGTTTGCACTGACTAGATCAGAGTAATTTTTTTTTTACCCTGCACCCATCAGACTTCGAAAAATTTCACCCTAGGACTCAGAGTTGGCCACTGCTGGAGCTCTGATTTGTAAGGGTGAGCCTAAACCCATTTTGGGGCCTGATGTATTGCCATCTCAAATTATGATAATTGTGAGTCTATACGTACGCTACAATACCCATTGCACATACCAGAAAGGTGTTAACACAGTAGAATTGTATCCAAAACTTACCAAGGTACAATGTATGTTCATCTCAAATGATGATCAGTCAAGTTACATCTCAAATGTTGTACATGGAATAAACAAAACTGATCCTTGTACTCAACAAGCTACTAATGTAAACTACTTGGCACAGCATCATCTACAACATTCAGGAACCCTAACAGAATGAACAACAGCTTCATTGCCTCCACCCATCCACTCAGTCATTGACTTCATTGACAACTGCCTTGACGTCACCCCTTCTCTTCTTCCCCCCTTCTCTGCTGCTTCACCCCTTCTTCCCCCCTTCTCTGCTGCTTCACCCCTTCTTCCCCCCTTCTCTGCTGCTTCACCCCTTCTTCCCCCCTTCTCTGCTGCTTCACCCCTTCTTCCCCCCTTCTCTGCTGCTTCACCCCTTCTTCCCCTCTTCTCTGCTGCTTCACCCCTTCTTCCCCCCTTCTCTGCTGCTTCACCCCTTCTTCCCCCCTTCTCTGCTGCTTCACCCCTTCTTCCCCCCTTCTCTGCTGCTTCACCCCTTCTTCCCCCCTTCTCTGCTGCTTCACCCCTTCTTCCCCCCTTCTCTGCTGCTTCACCCCTTCTTCCCCCCTTCTCTGCTGCTTCACCCCTTCTTCCCCCCTTCTCTGCTGCTTCACCCCTTCTTCCCCCCTTCTCTGCTGCTTCACCCCTTCTTCCCCCCTTCTCTGTTGCTTCACCCCTTCTTCCCCCCTTCTCTGCTGCTTCACCCCTTCTTCCCCCCTTCTCTGCTGCTTCACCCCTTCTCTGCTGCTTCACCCCTTCTCTGCTGCTTCACCCCTTCTCTGCTGCTTCACCCCTTCTCTGCTGCTTCACCCCTTCTCTGTTGCTTCACCCCTTCTCTGATGCTTCACCCCTTCTCTGCTGCTTCACCCCTTCTCTGCTGCTTCACCCCTTCTCTGCTGCTTCACCCCTTCCTGCTGCTTCACCCCTTCTCTGCTGCTTCACCCCTTCTCTGCTGGTTAGCAGCTACGTTAGCAGCTTTCTTAGCAGCGTTAGCAGCCCTTAGCAGCTTCGTTAGCACCTTAGCGGCTTCGTTAGCAGCCCTTAGCAGCTTTCTTAACAGCCGTTAACAGCTTCCTTAACAGTCGTTAGCAGCTTCCTTAACAGCCGTTAGCAGCTTCCATAAGCTCCCCTTAGCAGCAGCTTCCCCACTCCTTCTCCCCCTCCTCAGCATCACGGATTTGAGGAAATGACTGTTCGGCGAGTAGCGTAAGATTCAAAAGGCACCAAGAGGGAAAGGACCCTCCACACCCACGCCAGTGTGGAAAATTCCGTGACATCAAGTTCTCCTCACCCACGCCAGTGAGGAAAAACTTGTGATGCCCGAGGCACCCCAAGGGAATTGCTACCTGGAGTGTGTGGTATCTTGCGAGCATGATTCTGCTGCAGTCAGAACCATGCTGATCAAGACCAGACTCCATCACAAATCCCCTTGAGGCTTCCCGAGCAACGTATGCCACAACCTCTTTGCCTGAGCATGCACACTCAGTTGCCTTTTGTCTCTCCACGCCACCCAACATCCCAGTCAACCCCTCGCGACCGCTCTGCCTAAGGTTTTGGGCCGCTTCTCCCCTCTCGTCTCCTCCCTTCACGGATTCGCGGCTGGTTCAGTGCGGCTGCTTCAGTAAGGCTGATTCAGTTCTCTTGCAACCACCATCTGCTACATCTGCTGCGTCGTCGGTGTTGTCCTGCTACCGTTGTCCTGAAGGGGTGATCTGCTGCATCATTGAAGGGGTTTCCATCCGCTGCTGCCGTTGAAGGGGTTTTCATCCGCTGCCGTTGAAGGGGTTTTCATCCGCTTCTGCCGTTGAACGGGTTGTCATCCGCTGCTGCCGTTGAAGGGGTTTTCATCCGCTGCCATTGTCCTGCTACCGTTGTCCTGCTACCGTTGTCCTGCTACCGTTGTCCTGCTACCGTTGTCCTGAAGGGGTGATCTGCTGCGTCGTGAAGGGGTTTTCATCCGCTGCCGTTGAAGGGGTTTTCATCCGCTGCTGCCGTTGAAGGGGTTTTCATCCGCTGCCGTTGAAGGGGTTTTCATTTGCTGCTGCTGTTGAAGGGGTTTACATCCGCTGCTGCCGTTGAAGGGGTTTTCATCCGCTGCCGTTGTCCTGCTACCGTTGTCCTGCTACCGTTGTCCTGCTACCGTTGTCCTGCTTCATCTGCTACATCGTGAAAGGGGTGAAGGGGTTGTCATCTGCTGCCGTAAAGAGGTTTTTCCGCTGCTGCCGTGAAAAGGTTAATCCGCTGCTGCCGTGAAGAGGTTGATCCGCTGCTGCTGCCGTGAAGAGGTTTATCCGCTGCTGCTGCCGTGAAGAGGTTTATCCGCTGCTGCCGTGAAGAGGTTTGTCCGCTGCTGCCGTGAAGAGGTTTGTCCGCTGCTGCCGTGAAGAGGTTTGTCCGCTGCTGCCTTGAAGAGGTTAATCCGCTGCTGACGTGAAGAGGTTAATCCGCTGCTGCCGTGAAGAGGTTGATCCGCTGCTGCTGCCGTGAAGAGGTTTATCCGCTGCTGCTGCCGTGAAGAGGTTTATCCGCTGCTGCCGTGAAGAGGTTTGTCCGCTGCTGCCGTGAAGAGGTTTGTCCGCTGCTGCCGTGAAGAGGTTTGTCCGCTGCTGCCGTGAAGAGGTTTGTCCGCTGCTGCCGTGAAGAGGTTTGTCCGCTGCTGACGTGAAGAGGTTTATCCGCTGCTGCCGTGAAGAGGTTAATCCGCTGCTGACGTGAAGAGGTTAATCCGCTGCTGCCGTGAAGAGGTTAATCCGCTGCTGCCGTGAAGAGGTTGATCCGCTGCTGCTGCCGTGTCAAGGTTTATCCGCCGTGCCTAAGGAGATGGTCTGCCGCGCTGAAGGGGTTGATCTGCACATTAAACACATATAACGTCAAACGCCAAACGTAAAACATGGCATAAAACAAAATCAACAAGGCTGAAAGTAAGTAAAGAGTTCAAAACCGTGACTTACATTTTCAGTTTTGAAGAACATGGTTGAAGCTTTGCTGTGTCGTCTGCTGCGTCGTCTGCTGTGTTGCCTTTTTGCCTCTGCGTCTGAAGCTTCGCTGCCTTGTTGCCTCCGCAACAGAAGCTCCGCTACAAAGAATCCGTTGTTCCTGAAAAGAAACACAAACAGTAGCACGAAGTTAGTGAACGGAAATCGAGAATTAGAAAACAAAAGAGAACAACGAATGCGAAAATGAAAATGAATGGGGATGGAACGTTCGTAACGCTTAGGCTGCAGCCAGAAGAGGGAGGAGAACCTATGCTACCCAAACCCCAAACCCGACCCGCGGAGGATCATCTCCTAACTGCAGCCCTCGCGTCAGAGGAACGGTAGAAAACGTCGAAAAACACAAATGGCGGAGTGGCGAGATGCTATGATTGTGAAACGAAACAACAATTAACAAAAAAATAGTGAAAGGAAGGAGGGAGGGAAGGGAACGACACTTCCCGATCAGTCGCGCCGAAGCAGACGCGCGCGTCCCTTATAGGCCGCCCGTCACACGAGAGAAGAGTTGAAGCCATGCCTCCGCACGAACGGGAGAACGTTGAAGTGTTGAACGGGATAACGTTGAACGGGAGAACGCTGACCGTTGAACTTCTTGAGAAGGAACAGGAACATTGTGAGAAACTGAACGAGAATGAATTGACTAAGGGAAATTTGGGTACAAATGTAAACCCTAGAAAACTGTACCCCATATGTGCTACCCCACTATAGCCTACAGTAGCTATGTCATATAAATCTGACACACCCCCATAGGCAAAGTGGGGGAGAACAAGGGGTCACAAGACCAGTCAAGCAAAGCAAAGCAAGCTCAGGGTGGATCACAAAGTCACCACACATTCCGAGCACAAGTTCAAGGCCACAAGGCCAGTTCACATGCAGGATTACATATATATATAAGGCTAGACAAGCAAGAGCAGGTGTATATATATATGCAACAGTACAAACAAGGTCAAGGGGTGAGCAAGTGAGGCAAGGTAGGCACAAGACCCAGCTGAGTACAGAAGCGCTGATGATCACAAGGCGCAAGTGCCTTGGTGAAGATATCAGCAGTGTTGGCCTGAGAGGCCACGTACGCAAGCCGCAGCTGACCACGCTGCTGTAGCTCACGAGCAAGGAAGTAGCGGAGAGCAATGTGCTTCGTTCTGTGCTCCAGTCTCTGCTCTCGACACAAGGCCAGCATGGCCTTGTTGTCTACGTACAGCACTGGAGGAGAACGAGGCGGCTCTCCGAGGTCAGTCAGCAGGTAGGTGAGCCAGCGAAGCTCCTGTGCAGCCATGGCCCCGGCGTAGATCTCAGCCTCACAACTGGAGCCGAGAACAGAAGACGAGCGGGTAGCCCGCCACGAAACAGAGCCGGAACCAAGGCTGAAGGTGTAACCCTGTGACGACCGCTGCGTAGCCTGGTCGTCAGCCCAAGAAGCGTCTGCGTGCCCAGTGAGGACCACTGGACTCTGCCCTCCAAGCACAAGCCCCATGCCCGACGTACTGCACAAGTAACGCAACACCCTCTTCGCTGCAGCCATGTGCTCCGGTCTGTGTCTCCCAGGAGCAACATAGCGTGCGAGAATGCTAAGAGGGTATGCGAGGTCAGGTCGTGTGCAGGTCATCAGGTACATGAGGCAGCCAACAAGCTCTGGGTACGGGCCACTCGACTCTACGGACTCATCCAAAGGCAGAGCTGAGAGCGAGTGGCGAGTAGGCAGAGGAGTGGCCTGAGGCGAGGAGTACGTGAAGCCGAAGCGCTGAAGGACCTGCTGCACCATGTGTGACTGAGTCAGGGTAATGGTGCGGCGTGCTCTGTCCCGGGTGATCTGCAAGCCAAGGTAGCTGCGCAGTTCACCCAGGTCTGTGCACGTGTGTCTCTTCTGCAGCTCGGACTTCACGTGGGCGAGTCCAGCAGTGTCAGCTGTGGCAAAGACCAAGTCGTCGACGTACACGAGGATGTAGAATGGCGGCAAAGAAGTGTCGGTGCGCAGAAACAGCGACGGGTCGGCAGTAGAGGGAGCAAACCCAAGAGCCGCAAGTGTAGTCCTCAGTGTGTCGTGCCACTCACGCGGTGCCTGGCGGAGACCGTAGACTGGTCGCCGGAGGCTCCACTGGGTGCCAGGAGGAAAAGACCCAGTGAAGCCAGGTGGGCGACGCAGCCAGATCTCCTCGTGCAGGCTGCCCTGCAAGAAAGCAGTGCTGAAGTCAAGAGAGTGCAGCTCGTAGTCACGGTGAGCAGCTATGTGCAGCAGTACCCGAAGAGTGGTCATCTTCGGGGTGGGAGAGAAGGTCTGAAAGTAGTCAACTCCCTGCCGCTGACAGAAGCCACGAGCCACGTAACGCGCCTTGAAGACAGGCGGAGAACCCGGCGGTCGCTTCACCCTGAAAATCCACATGCCACTGACGATGTTCGCCCCAGGCGGGGGAACCTCGTCAACGTAGGTGCCTGTGGACTTCCAGGAAGCCATCTCTGTGTCCATAGCTGCCTGCCACTGAGAGGAGTAGGGACCCTCTATCGCCTCCGCGTAAGAGCGCGGAGTCGGGATGTCAAGTGCATCCGGGTCTCCCTCAGGGGTAAGCAGTACGGACACGAGATGAGGTGAAGCAGCAGCCAAACACTGGAACTCCTCCTGCCTGTCCTCAAGGACGTCCGTGCCAAGGGCACACTCACCCCCGACGGACGGAGGACAGACAGACTCAGACTCAACGACAAGACTAGCAGCGTAGTCTAGACGACAGCGAGCAGCAAAGTCGACGAGCTCAGCAACTAGGGCAGACGCAGCAGTGGACTCAAAGGAAGGGTCAGTGACGACAGTAGCAAGGAGACGCGTGACAGTAGGACTGGCAGCACGAAGAGAGTCCGACTCCGGGTCGGGAAGAGCAGGAAGAGAGGACTCAGGAGGAGAAGGCAAAGGGGCACGCAGAGGAGCAGTGGACGGACGCAGAGACATCCGGTGCGTGCCAGGGACAGGAGGAGGACGCTGACGCGAACCACGACCACTAGAGCGAGCAGGACGGACAGGCGACGC